GAGAGAGAGAGAGAGAGAGAGAGAGAGAGAGAGAGAGAGAGAGAGAGAGAGAGAGAGAGAGAGAGAGATGCAGAGCAGAAGGGATAGGGGAAGTGGAGAGAGAGGGACTAGGGGAGATCTGGAGAGGGAGAAAGAGGAAAGGAGGGAAACAGCGAGACTGGGAAAGGAGATGAGGACAGAGAAAGAGGTCAGGTAGCAAGGGGTGTGAGAGAAAAGCGAGGAAGAGAGACAGACAAGGATAGATATATAGACACATACGATTAGATAGATAAGATAAGAGTGCTCTAGAAAAGAGTAGAGGAGAAGAGTAGAGTACAACACTTACTGTATACTACTGTAGACAGCAGGGTATGTAGTGTAAGAGAGCGGAGAGTCTCACGTGCTCCCTCTTGCGAAGATGGGCCAAGGAGGGATGAGTCACCTCTCTCTCTCTCTCTCTCTCTCTCTCTCTCTCTCTCTCTCTCTCTCTCTCTCTCTCTCTCTCTCTCTCTTTCTCTCTCTGCTTTTAAAAATCCAAATTCTCTCTCTCATTCCGTCCACAAAGGATCACAAGCCATTCATAAAACAAAAAAGGTATAGATACACAGTATACCAGACGATGCAAGGTTGGCAACGTTTGTGTGGTTAAACACCAAGCCCGCACACCCGTCTGCCGCCCAAGTGGCACACTTACACAAATATAGTATAAACCTAGGCTACCAGAGTGGCGGCCGGGCCAAAAAATATATATATATCGTCACATAGATATCAGAGCGCATTATAACCATCCTCATATTTTTGCCTGTATTTTACACAGACCCGGGCATATATGGCACTCATTCGTGCAGCTGCCCAGTGGGAACTGTGGGATGGTGGGACGATGAGTCAGGTCATTTTCGACGTGAATGAATTTTTGCGAGCATTGTCGAATCATACTTTATTCTGGATTATTGACCGACTCTCGTGTGACACCTGTCGGGACAGAGACGCGGTGCGCCTTGGCTGTGGAATGCATCATCTATGCCATAGCCATTATCAATCTATTGCGACTGCCGCCATCTGTCCTGAAGGGT